TGGACCGCCTTATACAAAAATAAACTCAATATGGATTAAAGGCCTAAATTTGAGACCTGAAACCATAAAAATCATTGAAGAGAGCACAGGCAGTAATCTCTCTGACGTCAGCTATAGCAACATTTTTCTAGATATGTCTCCTGCAGCAAGGGAAATAAAAGCAAAAATAAACTATTAAGACTACATCAAAATAAAAAGTTTCTTCGTGGTGAAGGAAATAATCAACAAAACTAAAAGGTAACGTACTGAATGGGAGAAGATACTTGAAAATGACATATCCGATAAAGGGTTAGTCTTCGAAATGTATAAAGAACTGATACAAGTCAATACCCCAAAACCAAATAATCCAATTAAAAATGGGGAGAAGAGGGGTGCTTGGGTGGCTCAGTTGGTTAAGTGTCTGACTTTGGCTCAGGTCATTATCTTGCGGTTCATGAGTTCGAGCCCTGCATCAGGCTCAGAGCCTGGAGCTGCTTCGGATTCTATGTCTCCCTCTCTCTGTCTGCCCCTCCCCCACTCAGACTCTGTCTCTCTCTCTCTCAAAAATAAATAATAAAACTTTTGTAAAAAATTTTAAAGAAATGGGCAGAAGACACGAACAGACATTTTTCCAAAGAAGACATCCACACTTGATCTTAGCCAAAAGGCGGAAAAGCGATCCAAAGAAGACATCCAGATGGCCAACAGACACATGAAAACTGCTCAATATCACTGATGATTAGGGAAGTACAAATCAAAACTACAATGAGATATCACCTCACACTTATTAGAATGGCTAAAATCAAAACCACAGGAAACAACAAGCGTTGACGAGGATGTAGACATAAAGGAACCCTCTTGCACTGTTGGTGGGAATGCAGATTGGTGCAGCCATTGTGGAAAACAGGATGGAAAATAAAAAATAGAACTACCCTATGATCTAGCAACAACACTCCTGGGTATTTACCCCGAAAATACAAAAACACTAATTCAAAGGGATATATGCACCCCTATGTTTATAGCAGCATTTTTTACAATAGCCAAATTATGGAAGCAGTCCAAGTGTCCATTGGTAGATGTACAGATAAGGAAAATGTGATACACACATGCATGCGCATGCACGCGCGCACAAACACACACAGGAATATTATTCAGTCATAAAAAAAGAATGAAATCTTGCCATTTGCAACAACATGGATGGAGCTAGAGAGTATAATGCTAAGTGAAATAAGTCAGTCAGAGAAAGACAAATACCGTATGATTTCACTCGTATGTAGAATTTAAGAGACAAATGAGCAAAGAAAAAAAGACACACAGAAACCAAGAAACAGACTCTTACCTATAGGGACAAACTGATGGTTTCCAAAGGGGAGGTAGGTGGAGGAATTGGGGAAATAAGGGATGTGAATTAAACAGTACACTCATCATGATGAAAAAAATAAAATGATTAAAATATAAATAAGTTTATAAAGTAAAAAAAAAAGCTATGTTACTAGGTACACATGAAGTAAGAATTACTATGTGTTCTTTGTGAATTGTTCCTTTTATTATGAGTAACTGTCATTGTCCCTGTAGTGTTTTTTATCCTAAGGTTTTTTTAAACAGTCTAAGCTGTCTAGAGTTATTAGACATCTTAAGTCTCCTCCCAGACAACACAAGTACTTTAAAAATGCTTCACTACTGGGGCGCCTGGGTGGCGCAGTCGGTTAAGCGTCCGACTTCAGCCAGGCCACGATCTCACGGTCCGTGAGTTCGAGCCCCGCGTCGGGCTCTGGGCTGATGGCTCAGAGCCTGGAGCCTGTTTCCGATTCTGTGTCTCCCTCTCTCTCTGCCCCTCCCCCGTTCATGCTCTGTCTCTCTCTGTCCCAAAAATAAATAAATGTTGAAAAAAAAAAATGCTTCACTACCAACTACGGTTACTCTTGATCTTATGTTTTAGTACCACCTTGTTTACAGACCTCCTCAATTATCAGTTACTGTCTTATGTAGCTAACAGTACTTTATTCTTTGCCTGCTGTTTCTTCATACATCTCACTCCTTCCTCTCATTTTAATCTCCTTCTTCCTACAGTCCGTCCGGTAGTAGTTACATACTTTAGGGAGGGTTTCTTAGTGGGGAGTTCTCTGCATTTGTGCTTATCACTTGGCCCACCTGTGATCTTGGATCTATTCATATCTGTCCCAAAATGGGATTGTATGTAGGACTGGATAATCTATATCATATAGGTTCTGTAGCAAAAGAAGAGATTACCCCTTGGAGTATTTACCGCAGATATCTTTGTAGATTTTGCAGAAAGCTTTAGTTTGATTTCATTTAACAGCATTGAAATGCATGTTTTAAACTTACTAAATTATATTAATGTCTCATATAGAATTAAATGAAATAAAATTTATTTTAATATTTTCTCTAAGAATTTCCTAAATCTTCTTTTGGAAGGATAACATCTTCTGAACTCTTTCTGTTACCTTGTGAGATCTCATTAATTTAATGGCAAGAAGCTTCATTGTGAAGGTAGCTACTTGAGTGTAGTGTATAAAAGTGGTATTCTTCACTAATCTCTTTTGTTTATCTAAAAATTTAGCGAATGATTTTCTGTGTGGAATTTATTTGGAGTTGAAATTATCTTGGATTCCCTTATTTATGTATATTTTAGATTTCTTTATTCAAATGTTAAACAAATCTTTGAAATAAGATTTAAAAAATTTGACAACATAGCAGGAGAATGGAAAAATGTGCAAGAGAACACAAGGTTGAGGAAAATACTTACAAATTAAATAGAGGAGAGGCAGGGGCGCCTGGGTGGCTCAGTCAGTTGAGCATCCGACTTCGGCTCAGATCATGATCTCACAGTCTGAGTTCAAGCCCCGCATCGGGCTCTGTGCTGACAGCTCGGAGCCTGGAGCCTGCTTTGGATTCTGTGTCTCTTCCTCTCTCTGCCCCTCCCATGCTCATGCTCTGTCTCTCCCTCTCTCTCTCGAAAATAAATTTTAAAAAAAACGTTAAAAAATATAAGCAAACAAACAAATAAATAAATAAATAGTGGAGGGGTACCTGGGTGGCTCAGTCAGTTGAGTGTCTGACTTCAGCTCATGTCATTGTCTTGCGGTCCATGAGTTTGAGCCCCACATTGGGCTTGCTGCCATCAGCCTGTTGGTGCAGAGCCTGCTTGGAATCCTCTGTCTCCCTCTCTCTGCCTCTCCCCCACTTGCACTCTCTCAAAAATAAATAATTGTTTTAAAAAGAAAAGAAAAGAAATTAAATAGTGGAAATTTGAGTAAGGACAATATGGGTTAATAATAAGCATGGTATAGTTCAGTGGTATCATAGGGGTTAGGTTCTAAAGTCACTATATGACAAAAATCTGATGTGTCACATTACTTAAATCTCCCAACATTGGAACCGATTGTGGTTTCTGTAGTTAAGCAAAAACCAGATTTTTATCTGATAAATGAAGAGCCATGTTATCTGAAAAATAGGTATCTTGATAAAGGTTCAGATCGTACTCAGAGACTCAAGAATCTCTCACATTGAAAGTCATGGGAGAAATGAAGCTTTGGCAGGTTCACATCTACTCATTCTGAGCCATAGCCTCTCTGCAATGAATGGCCCATAGATAGCACATCTTTTAGTATGGAAACTACTGAGCCTGGATATAGAGCTTCTCCCACACCTCAGTTAGCAGATGTCCAGGGAGAAAGGGCTAGAAATTAACTCTTTTGGCATGGTCCAAAGAATTGACATTTGAAACCACAGGTGCTCTAACTCCTCTGTAAAGTAGTCACTCTTGGCCACTCTTAGAATTGTAGGAAAATGGAAGATTTTATGTAGGGAGAAGCAATTTCCCTGGACTGATCCTGGGTCTCTTCTTTAAGTCAAAATACTTTGGATATAAGTAACTGATACTTCAGCTAGCTTTCATAGAAAAGAGTTTAATGATACAGAGACAGAACCTTAGGACAGCACGTATTTACTAAGCGCATCTAGGGTTCCGAGTACTATGGAGTCACCAGGAGACAGCATCAGACAAGGCTGATGAGTCTGCTTGGGACCTCCCCTGTCCTGGCTTACTCCCTCCCTCTACTCGGTTTGTTCAACTAGGATTTCCACAGAGAAGCCTCCTGGACCAGCCCTATCAAAAACAGTTCCCACTTCCTTTATCTGAGCTGCATTTTTAAAAAGTTCTCTCTGACTGTCCCATTGACTATGGTTTATTCATGTGTCTTACTCTCCTGCTAGACTCTTAAAGTCTTTAAAATCAGGAAAATTCTTTTTTCATTATTACTTTTATTCTTCATGTCCTCAGTTTCTAGTATTAGGGCCTGACATATAGTATATGTTCTAGAAATGTTTGTGGAACTGAACAGAAGGGGCATTAAGAATTTCCAGTATCTCTTTTAGTAAACATCTGTGAAGATGAAAGTTGTCAAGGAATGAAAGAAATGGTTTACTGTACTGATGAGAGTGATGATCCTGTCAGCTTGTCTCCGCCCTCAGTAAATCTTTTATTTTAATTTAGACCTGCTCCAGCTCCAGGAGACTGTGCAGAGTATTTTGATTTTCATGTGAGATTTGGCATTTCTCTTTAATTAATTTTTATTTTTAAATGAAATTAATGAATCTATTTTAAATAGTCAAATAGGACTACAAGGTTTCTAACAACAAAATGGGCAGTGTCTTCTTCCCTAGATTCTTTCAACTCATTTAACTCTTTCTTCTGATATTTACCTCTGTGTTTCTAAGTAACATTTTTATCACTATTTCTTGACTTTTTTTTTCAATTTGAGGCATTATTTATTTCCTACTATAAAAGATCAGAATCTTCCTCTCTTACATATTAGTCTCTCAACTACATAGACACCACACACTCCCTTTCCCCCTTTACCCCTTCCTTCACATCTCCCATCTCAAACTCATTCTGAGCAGTATGCGTAATATATTACTGTTGTTGTTAAACTGGCATTCAGTGCTTACATTTTTTTTTAAGGAGTTCAGTTTTTTACTGAACAGGTTACAGAAGAGGTTTAGTCAAAAAGACCAAAACTGATGTCATCCTCAGACTCCTTTGATTCTTCTTTCTTTGCTTCCGCTTTCTACTCCTCAGCTGGTACGGGGAGCGGGACCTCCTGCTGGTGCAGGTCCACCAGCCCCTACGTTGCAGATGAGGCTCTCCATGTTGACATTGACCAGGGCCTTTGCAAACAAACCCAGCCCGAAAGGTTCGGCATTTACGCCGGCTGCTTTAATGAAGGCATTGATCTTCTTTGTGACAGTCACCTCATCATCGTGTAGGATGAGGGCCAAGCAGATGCAGGCAGGGTCCAAGACGGAGGCAATGGCGTGGGTGAGTGCTGAGTGGATAGTCGCCCGATGAAGTGAGGGCCTCGCCCCAGCCTGGCCTTAGCTTCCTCGGAAGACCAAGCACCTTAGCAGCAGCTGAGGAAATTCAGTGCTCAGATTATTATCATCCCATAAATATTCACAGCTAAGCCATTTGCTTTACTAGGATTATGGGCTCTTTTTTTTTTTTTTTTTCTTTTTCTTTTTCTTAGAATTATCCATTGGTTTTATTATTACTTTTGCAGAAACAGCTCTCGGTGTTGTCTCTCTTCCTGCATGGATCTGAACTGTTATCTTGTTCTGCTGCAGGTCTTCATCATCGTTCTGGTGGCGTTTTGGGAAGGAGTAGGGATAGATAGAAGTGTTCAGTCTGCTATCTTTAATCAGAGTTCTTTTTTTTAATTTCTTTTTATTTTTTTATTCTAGAGAGAGCATATGCAAGCAGGGGAGAGGGGCAGAGGAGGGAGGGAGAGAATCCTAAGCAGGCTCCACGCTCCGTGGAGCCTGATACGGGGCTCTATCCCATGACCCTGGGATCATGACCGGAGCCAAAATCAGGAGTCAGACGCTGGACACCCGACCAACTGAGTCCCCCATATGCCCCTCAGGATTCTTTATCCTAACATTTTTTTGTATAAGCATTATTCAAAATTTGTACAAAGGTAATTTCTATCAAACTAAAAGATCTCTCAAAGACCTTAGTACTTCGTTTTCAGTGTTCACCAGCAAGCTGATCATACGGTCTCCAAAACAGTCTGATTCACGAGTTCAAACTGGGAGGCCTCCCTCCTTCGGGTGGGTCTGCCCTCTCCACTCTTTAAAATTGCCCTTGAAGCTCAGTAGTGGCATCTTCTTTGGGGCCCGCGTTTCTTGCTTTAGGGCATCACTACAGCTTCTATTTTTGATGCCATTGATGTAAACAGTCCATTCTGTCTTCCTGTATTTCAGATTGTTTGCGACCTTTGTGTGTGTGTTTTCCTTCTTCATCCTTAGCATTTGTCCCCCTGTCTTTCACTTCATTTAATTGTGTTTGTCTCTTGGCTTTAGAATAGAATCTCACCTTTTCCATGTCCCCTCCTGGTCTAGGTTTGCACATCATTTTTTCCCCGGTCCCTCACCTACTGCCCTTTTGGGGATAAGACCTATCAGTTTATGAATTCGGTTATGTGTTGACTTTCTCTAGCTTGTCCTGGTAAGACGTGACCCAGAGGTTTTTCCCAAACTTGGATTTCTTTTGTGATCACTGCTTATTTTGCTAGAGGATATTTGCTCACCAGTTCTCCTGTCTGTATACCTTACTGCGTTTGCCCACGGCTCCACGCCGCTCGCATCACCGATCGCCTTCTCTGTTCAGCCCTGCCTTTGAGATTGTGTATATGAGCGAGTTAAAATGAAGCCAAAGAAAACCTGGTATTGTGCTGTTGCTCTGAAGCCTCTGATAACCCCTCTTGAGGATAGTCTGTGACCCTATTTTTCTCTCTTTAAGTTTCTTAATGACCTTGCATAAGCATGAAAATTGTGAAAGGCACTTTTTTTTTTTTTTTTTTGCATAACACTTGTATAGCTTAGAGATACACAAATAAGCAGGCTTCTCAGATTAACATTTAACCACGTGCTTTAAAAAAATTGGTATCTTTCCATTTTTGTGGGTTTTTCCCAGCCACTCGCTATCACTGGTGGAGCTGAAGAGACATATAAGATCTTAATTATTTATTTCAGCCAAAATTTGGGGTACCTACACTATGAAACCCAGAGCCAATTACTGCAGGAGATACAAAATGAATTAAGACCAGACTGTGACCTCGAGTTATTTATGCTGTAGTAGGAGAGATAAGACAGGTATACAAATGAGGCTTATAAAAGATACAGTAATATTAGCATTGTAAGGGAGTTCTAAACAACGTACTATGAAAATTCAAAAGGACGTGAACTTAAAACCACCTATTGAGGGGCGCCTGGCTGGCTTGGTCGGTTAAGCGTCCGACTTCGGCTCAGGTCATGATCTCACGGTCCGTGAGTTCGAGCCCCATGTTGGGCTCTGTGCTGACCGCTCAGAGCCTGGAGCCTGTTTCAGATTCTGTGTCTCCCTCTCTCTCTGCCCCTCCGCTGTTCATGCTCTGTCTCTCTCTGTCTCAAAAATAAATAAACGTTAAAAAAAAAAATTAAAAAAAAACCCACCTATTGAAATCAGGAAGGGCATTTTGGAATGCTACAGAACATTTCCAACTATATAAATATTAAGTAGGCAGCATGCCTCTTTGTGTGTGTGGGTGTGGAGGGGCACGGGTGGGATCTATCTTACCTGTGCCATTTTGATTTAAAAGTTCCTTCCCGAATGAGGGTCACATCCTAATGGAAAGAACTTGGAATTTTTTATTCCAGTCCCAGTGCTGCTCTTTCATTTGCTAGGTTTGACAGTATTAGAGTCTGGAGTGGACACACATTGCAGTCATATCTGTTCCCCGTCCCTTATCGGAAGGAAGTCCACTGTCTTCGTCTGGGGGCTTCTCTGAATTGTTCAAGGACTCCGCGGGAGGTGGCTAGCACAGGAGAGGTAGTCAGGACCGCTTCCACCCTCCAAAGGGAAGAGCCCATACATAGTCTGCTGCTGCTTTTCAGCGCCTCATGGGGTTCTTTTAAACACTGGTCCTCACCTTGTGACCAGTGATACTGACCCACTGCTAAGCATGCTTCGGTGGAGGAGCTTGTCTCTGCTCAGCTCAGCCAAGAACCCCCAGCTGACCTCTCAGGACAGAGCTCTTGGTATTGTGCTCTTTCAGCTCCGTGCTCAACCGTTCTCTTCGTGCCAGGTGGCCCAGGAAGCTCTGGGGCAGAATCTTTTCAGACACCTGCCACTTCACAGACCCAGAACCCCTAACCCCCCTTTCTCCAAGAATCCACCCCTAGGAATCAGGCAGGTGACCCCTTTTCCAGACTCCAGATGCAAACACTCATTCTTTCCTCCCTTTCCCCATGCAGTGAGGTTTATCACTCATCCTTGTAAGGCAGGCTGAGGGTACTTTTGCTCTAAAGGGAAGATTTCCCAAGTGATTCAAGGTGATTATTGGCATTCTCTCAGTATAGAAAAATGAATTTAATCTGTGATGGGTGTTCTGCTTCCTTAATGGTGTCTATCAGATAATGTTATTGTGAAGCTAAAATGAGATGGTCTTATGAAAGTTTAAAGAGCTGTAGAAACGTTATTATCATTGTTATGCTATCATTTCCCGTTTAAATCCCTTCAAAGAGTGACCTGACCCAGCTTTTCTTCCAGCCTCGTTTTGTATTGCTCCATCTCTTTCACTGTGCCTACCAGTCTTTCTTACTCTTGTCAAGGTTTTTCTCCCTCACTGGACTTCTGCAAATACCATGCTTTTGTAGAAAGTGTCTTTTTCTTCTCTCTGCGTACCGAAAGCCTACATCACTGTCTCCTCTTAACAGACCTTCCCTGAAACTGTAATACAAACTAAATTGCCCATGCTTTGGGGTTAGAAAGCCCAAAGGTTTTTTTCCTTCTCAGTACATAACGCAGTGTAAAAGATATACGTGAATTGGTGATCACTTATTTAATTTCTTCTCTGAACACCAGCACCAAGAGTGAACATGCTCTGTTTACTCTAAAAAGTAGCATTATTATGTTATTTGGTTCTCAGAGCACATCGTGCTCTACTATGTTACTCTTACAGGTGAGAATATCTGTTAAATCATAGGCAGAGTTGAAAGATAAGAAGCTGAGATTGGCTTTCTTCCATCTTTCTGAATGGAAATTTTGCATGCCTTCTTTTTCAAGTTATCACTGTTAGTGACTCTGTTCAAACAATGGCGTCATGGAAGACTTTCTTTGCCAAAGAACAATAAATTATGTGTTGATCATTGAGAAGGAAGGCTTTGTGTTGTAGAAGAAATTAAAATCTGTGGTTTTTCTGAAATTTATTAAATCTAAATCATCACTGTTTAAACATAATGGCGACCCCTAGTGGATATGCTGTACAACTGACCAAAATATCAGGAACCCTCAAACTGATAGTCATTGTGTAGTAATTAGAGAGTAATCTTTTTCTTTGAATGTCAAGTATGTTTCATACTTGAATTTAGGAATTTTGACAAAGACTTGATTTGTGAGGTCCACAGCTCTTGTTCCCTCACTTATCTGTATTTACTGTTTTTTTTTTTAATTACTTTGATTTATACCTAACTCTGTTAACAAAAGAATGAAATGGTAAAGAACTACAGAGTGCCTCATTCAAGCTACTTCTGGGATTTTATGTCCTATTTGATCCTTGTAAGCGTATATAAGTAGTTTTTACATACACACTTGTAATCACATTATGGGCATAGTATTTTGTGTTCTTTTATCACTCGACATGATTTCATTTAGACTATCTCACATGTCTGCAGTCAGCATATTTTTAATTTTTTTGTGATGTGTAATATCTTATTATGTTGATACATGTAATGCATTCTATCTTTGCTTTTAGTTTCTTACTGTGATAGTGAAACTGTGCACATCTTATTCAAAATCTAGAAATCTCTATTTTCAGGCCCCAGGTAATTCCTGAGATCTGTTGGAGTGTGAAACCCTGGCCAGGGAATGATTCACCTTTAAGCAGCATCTTGCCTGCCCCACTGACATTGGACATGTTGTCAAATAATGCCCTGCTGTGCTCCCATGTTCCCTGACCGCCCCCCCCCCCCTTCACTTTGAGGAGACCTGAGGTACATTGTTCTGTATCCCTTCCATGACAAATTGTTGCCCTGGCAAGTAAGCTAAGGTGGGAATAGACTTCCAAAATTATTTTAATCCAGCCAGGACATAGTGTCCTCCCTCTCCCAAATATGTATTGACTTGTCAGTTACTTTTGGGAAAGGAGACATGATTTTCCAATTAAAAGATTGGAAAATCCTGCTGGTAGAGTCATAATTTATCTAAAAAGCTGAAAACTGAATATTAATTTTAACTTACTTTGGTCAGAATCTATTCAATGGGGTATGATCTTTGAATTAAGAAGATCCCATATGATTTTAATTTTCTTCTTTATACTTAACTATTTTCTTGATGTTCTATAATGAACATATATTATTTTTATATTCTGAAAAAGGTGAGTTTTCTAAATTATAGCATCCCAGTAAACCCTATAGAAAAATATATAAAACATTCAGAATCTCATCCCCTAGAGATCATTGCTGTTAACATTTTACTGTATTTGCTTCCAGTTTTTTCAATGCACATGTAAAATATATTTATAAATATTATATTTTAAAAAACAAGTTCCAGTACATGGGAATACAACATTATAAAATTCATACAGATTGGAGGGTATTATTTACAATCAAAAGGATTATCTACAGGGGCGCCTGCCTGGCTCAGTCAGAAGAGCATGCTACTCTCAATCTCAGGGTGGTGAGTTTGAGCCCCACATTGGATGTAGAGATTACCTAAGGAAAAAAAAAAAGGACTATTTACAGTTTCATTATTAAGCTCCCCTGTTATACTTAAAGAAATTCAATTCCTAAGAATTCATTTTATTTGGGGGCGCCTGGGTGGCTCAGTCGGTTGAGCATCCGACTTCGGCTTAGGTCACGATCTCGCGGTCCGTGAGTTCGAGCCTTGCTTCGGGCTCTGGGCTGATGGCTCGGAGCCCGGAGCCTGCTTCCGATTCTGTGTCTCCCTCTCTCTCTGCCCCTCCCCCATTCATGCTCTGTCTCTCTCTGTCTCAAAAATAAATAAAAAACATTAAAAAAAAATTTAAAAAAAAAGAATTCATTTTATTTGTTTTTTTCTTTTCTTTCTTTCTTTTTTTTTTTAAATAACTTCTCTTGAACTTGAAGCCAGGTATATTGCACATTTGAGCCAAGGTTCTGTCAGAAATCCATGTTTTTGCGGCATTGCGCTTTGTGGGCACTTGAGGAATGCTCACTGAATAAACTTGTCAGGCATTTACTGAAACTGCATATTGACCTTCTGGTTCCATTTCTGACAAGCTACAACAAAATGATTGTCTTGCTTTTAGACCCAAAAAGGACCTGGTCTGCTTGGATGACTAAATTCCTGAAAGAACTGAGATAAACAGTGCAGAGCATCATAGTAATGTTGCTTGGTGAATAGAGTGTTGTGAGGCCTGTTTTGTGTGGGGTTTTTTGGTTTTGTTTTATTTTTTTTGCTTGTTTTGTTTTTTGTACCAGCTCAGTAGATCGCTTGCTAAATGTCATCTGACTGTCAGTTTCATCAGATGTCTGTATTTTTGTTACATTTCCTTGTGATTTGATCTCTGATAACGCCTAGATAATCCTGAGTGGAAATGTTCATTCTCTTTAATTTTTCCTCAAATGTATCAACTCCTTGTTCCCCTATCACTGGTCTGTCATTTTTTTTGAAACAATTTTTATTTTTAATCTATCTTATCTTCTTTCTCCTAATTAATTACATTGAAAAATACAAAGTAAAAGCAGGACAGGATGATAAAAAAATACATAAACCTTTGGTCCATCCTTTGTGAGATGAGAATCCATGCTCATTCTTTTCATCTTTTGGATCATTAGCTGTCTAATTCAGAAGCCCTGTGTTTCAGAGCAGGGTGGTTTGGTCAGTCCTAGAAGATCTATTTATTTAATTTAAAAAATAATCCATAATGGGTAATTCAAATATATATTTACTGTGACACCTTACCCCCCAAAGTAATACAAAGCTAGTGTTTTAAACATATTACTCTATAAGTCAAACCAATTTCTCTGTGCATATTTACAGGCAAAGTAGCTCATGGGTACTAATCTGATTTCCTTCCTCTATAGATCATGTGACAATGCAAATAAGAATAGCCCTTTTATCTTTTTTGTTCTCTATTTAAAGTTAATTGGACTATGTTTTAAATTATTTCTCTGATGAATGGCTGAAAACTTAATTTGGAGGGACTTTTTGCAGAATCATGTACGTGAAAGCAAGTGATTTTTTTTTTTAATTTGAATCCCAGTTAGTTAACATATAGTATAATAATGATTTCAGGAGTAGAATTTAGTGATTCATCACTTACATATAACACCCAGTGCTCATCTGGCAAGTGCCCTCATTAATGCCCATCATCCATTTAACCCATCCCCCCACCCAAAACCCTGCCAGCAACCCTCAGTTTGTTCTCTGTATTTAAGTGTCTCTTATGGTTGACAAGTGATTTTTTTTTTTTAAAGAACTATTATCTAGCTGCTGACTATACCTCCTGAAGCATTTAGATGTTCCTAGACTACATTATTAATTCTGATTGCTTTCCTCCTAACAGTATTGGGAGAATTTTCATAACCTTTTCTTTCCCTTTCCTTCCTTCCTTCCTTCCTTCCTTCCTTCCTTCCTTCCTTCCTTC